ACCCTGGATGGGACCCTGGATGGGACCCTGTCCTTGCTGGAGCAGAGGAGCTGGACTAGATGATCTCTGGAGGTCCTTTCTAGCCTTAACCATTCTGTCATTCYGTGTTTCTGTGATTCTGTGCTCCTCCCTGCTCTTTTTGCCTGTTTGGATTAAATGTTCATAACAACTCTTGCTTTCCTTCCCTGTGTGTTTGTAGAACTCCTTGCACAATGGGATTTTAATTCTGAGTATTTCCAATAGAAATAAGTAACRTATTATTGTGCATACTCTATGCACTTGTGCTTATATTTATAGGCCATGTGACTTGAAGCCATTCTTCATGGGTCAAGGAGTATCTCTTTTAATTCAGTTCTTCCTAAAACATCTTAATCTACTTGCAAACTGATGGTGACTTGTTTTATTTTTAGAAACAAGCAAAAAAACTTTATCTAAGCAGACGTCCACTATCTTGGGTTACATCACTGACCTCATGCGATCACATTGGCTAAAAAGTAGAAGATCTCACAAAAATACAGTGATTCTCCTAGAAATGGTTGCTTCCATTGACGAGGTGGTAGCATATCAGAATGTGCTTACATCTTCTGTGCAGACACAGAAATACTTGTTTGTAATTTCTGAACAAGTATCATCAATCTGTTCAAYGACTGAGCTCACTGTGAAGTGCTGGCACGCTGACTTCCAGGGAAGCCATTTGGGGATGAATATATTTGGAGACAACTGGAGTTTTTTCATAGAAAGATCATCATGTTTTCCTCCAGACCCATAGAGTTAATAGTGCTTAATTAACATTAATCCTGTTCTTAAACATCATATCTTCATTGTGCTGTGAAAAATGTATTTTCCCCCATAAATGAACTTTCATATAGCCCAAAACAGTTTAAACGAACAAAATGATTTACTATTAACTACATGTCAACAGCTTTATAARGCTCTTGCTTTGGTCATGAAGCTCCACTGCTCCTGAGCAGTTCTAATTTGTGCCTTATGCCATCTCTGACCACATAGCAGTGTCATCAGTAGCTTTATCTTGACCACCTCATGCAGTCTTTGGACTGTGAATAAGAAAACAAATAGTTGTTTTAGCACACCTTCAAGACAAAGCCCAAGAGCTTCCCCATCATGAACAGCTGAGATATTTCACGCTTTACCCAGTTCTTGTAATGTGGCAGAAGAAAAAAAAACAAAAAAAGTTAATTGGATTACCAAATGATCTTGTATTTCTTTAAAGGGATAGGACACTCAAATGAGTGGGGAGGAAAGAGAAGCTAATAAAATTTTATCAATTCTATTTGGACACTTACAATATATGCTATTTCTTTCCTTTTTTTTTTTTTTTTTTTTAAACAAGGAATGGATTACATTTGATGTTCGCCTTTTTTTTGCATAGCTCTTATTTATTCCTGTCTGAATAGTGCTTGTGTTGATTACTAAACCTCCTCTTACTGGCTAGCCGCTACCAACCCAGGGAAACTATTTGATCCAAGTTTCACATTTTCATGCTTTCACCCAAATGTCTCAGCACATTCCTGTCTTGTTCCTCTACTCTCAGCAGGTTCCTGTCTTGTTCCTTTACCTCCTTCATCCAACTTCTGGTTTCTTAGCTCCCTCTTTTAAAGCTATCTTCCTACACCTCCTATTGTTTATATAATCTGCTCACTTCTTCAGGATCTGGAAATCCAAGTAGAAAAGGAAAAAGCCAAAAAGGAAAGAAAAACACAAGTAAAAGATCGAATGTACTTTTGCCTTCCCCTTTCTCTTTTCTCATTCATGACTTCATTCAGTATTTTAGGTCAAAAGGTAGGCCAGGGACCCTTTGTATGCTGTGTACAGATAACAAGGAAATGCCGTGCATAGAAACAAMAACATAAGCATCTGTTTGTTTTGGCCAGGGGGATTTGCCTCTCACTCTGCTCACATTGTAGGAGTCTCACATTCTGAGTTTAAGATGAAAATCCTGACTCCAGTCCTACTACGTGGAGTAAGACAATCTGGAGTAACTGCACTTCATTAGAAATCTCATGTGCATAGCTCATGAGAGCTAGAAACAACGCTTCATGTAATATATGGCTAATTAAAAGTGGTCTGCAAAGTTGAGTCAAGCTTATTTGTCTTCATCTATCTCCGTGTTAGCCTGTAAACCATACAGCCTGGAAAACAAGTGTCTTGCATACTTTTCATTTCACTCATAGGGCTGATTCATGCCAGCAAATACTGAAACCCCACCTCATAGTTTGGAAAAGTAATTTCCATTCCATTACTTTTGCTTGAAGCTAATATATGCTATTACAAAACATATTAAGTAAAACTTTAACCATTTCACTTAACCCAGCTGTGAAGTTCAAACTGCTTTTTAAAGTTAATTATCTTGCTCCAACCTGCACATATGCACACATTAAATACAAATAAATCAATATGGCTTACTGCATGTTTCAATTTGCTTTGTGTTTTTAAAATTAGCATAGTTTTGCTTTGCCTAACAGATATATAAGCATGATGATATCTTACAGATTAAAGTTTTGTGTTTTCCTTTGTAGTTCCTTTGCTAGTTTATAAACCTAAGGACCTTGAGGGAGTGTCGGAAATCCCCATAATTTTCCTCACTGCTCCATTTTACCTTTTCTTTCATGGAGTTAATACACCAAGAAAAGAAATGCAGATAGCCAGATGGCTCCCTAGTGTCCATATATACAAACACATTGACAGACACAAGTGACTTTAACTGAATTTGATTTTAGCTAAATCAACCTTTAGCTGAGGTTGATTTATTTTTGAGAATATTCTCTTGTTAACCTTTTCTTATACTAGGGAGAGTTTGTGATCCCATCTGATTTTTTTTCTTGGAGTTTAAGAAGATGAATTAGTAGTTTGTTTTTTTTTTTTATGGTGTAAATATTTGAGGAGAAAAATGAAAATTGCCATCAACATGTTTGGAGTTAGCATTTCATGGTAACATTCTTCTTTCTTGACTAGTATTGCCACTTATTAAACGCCTGTTAAAAGAAAGGTTATTTCATATTTTCTTTTGTGGTTTTCTGTGCTCTGCTTTGAATCACCCTGCAAGACCACAGCAAGAGAGAATACCAGATTGGCTGATTCACTTGTGTTGCTTGGTGTGGTGATCTCTAATTGCACTTATCTGTGGGGATTTTCCAAAGCAGACAAGTGATTTCTCCTTTTGCTGGGTGATTCTGTCAGACTTTGAGGCTTATGGTTGTTACCACATTTCAAGGATGAGCAGCTTTACGTTCATACTCATATTAACTGGTCATTGACTGAGCAAGCTTTTTGATGGTATAGTTTAACTGCTCTTTATGACAGCAAATGTCATTCTATTTCTGTGCTGTTTACTTGTGTCAAGGAGGAGATCTGCAACAGTACCTGTATTTTTAGGGACTCTTGTAGAGTTTAGTTTTTTGGATGGCCTCAGCTAATTCACCCTCGGGACACGATCTGAAGTAGGTCAAGCTTTTCAAAAACCTGTACTTACTTATTTTCTGGCAAAATCAATGGCAAATCTGATGTTTGATTTCAGAGCAAGGTCTGTCCCATTCTTTTATGCTCTCTAGCGCCTTATACTACGGAARCTTCTAATGCTAAAAAAACACTAACTTTGCCAGGCTGGTGCAGCTTGGGGGAGAACTCACCTCCAAAATATGTGACCCTAAGTCATGTGGATGACCTTTCACACAACCAGATCTACAGACATGGGCCATAAAGATTCCCATGTAAAGAGACAAACTGAAGTGTTCCATATTCAGTCACATGCCCAAGAGCTTAGTAGGACTGACTGCTCCTGTGCCAAGCAAACGGCTGGAGCACATAAGAGCAGGAAATAAAATCTGATGGTGGGTACTGCTTCTCTGCAAGTACCTGTTTCCCTTGGCACACACCTGAGCTGTGGCACAAGCAGTAGGGTAAAATGCGCTCTTTGAAGCATGGCAGTGATGGGACGATGCTAGGCAGCCTGTGCACTTCGAAGTTTGCACCACATAGGTCAGACCAGAGCACCGCATGCACAAATCTTGCCTAACAAATAGCCCAAAGCTCAGGTGCTGTCCTGTGGAATATCCCATTGGCTTTCAAGGAGCAATGCTGCTGTTCACCAGCTTTATCCCCAGCTTGTGTTCTCTGGGTAAAATTTTCAACAGTCTGACTGCTGTGGGAGCGCAAGTCTCAGCAAAAATGGAAACTTTGCTAAGAGCTCAGTGCCTTGGGCAAGACTGAGGTGGGGGCAAAAGTGACTCCCAGTCTCCTAAACCGGGAGAGGGGAAAAAAAAAAAAAAAAAAAAAAAAAAAAAAAAAAAAAAAAAAAAAAAAAAAAAAAAGAGAGAGAGAGAGATCAGGTCAAAGCCTCCTCCTCTGTCTTGGGGTCTCTGCCCCTGACCACAACGCAGCATCTTTCCCTCCCTTCACAGTGACACCTACCGGCTTCCCCGGCCGCTTCCCGCTGCCCTTCGGGCGGAGCGCAGCTCCCCCCGGGGCCTCCCCAGTGCTATAGGCGTGTGTGTGGGGGTACACAGTCCCATCCCCCGGGTCCCGGCTCCCCCGACACTCCCGGCTCGTGGCGGCCGCGCGCKGCGGAGCGATGCCCGCTCCCGGCTGCTCCGCCCGTCGGGACGGTCCGGGAGCGGCGTCCCGGCTGCTGCGCAGCGACGGGAACTTTCTCCCGGCCACTTTCCCGGGACGGCAGGACGGGAGGCACCTGCGCGGACACCACCCCTCCAAAAAACCAACCCTGTACGTGTGTGTGAGCCCCCCCCGCCGGCTCCCCCGGCGCAGCCGCTGCCCGTGCGCGCCCGCGGGYTCCGCGCAGGGGGAGCCGCCCCGCTCCGCCCCGCGGGCTCCGCGCAGCGCCGCGCAGCGCCGGCCGGCCCGGGGAGGGGCCTCGCGCTATTTATGAGCTCCGGCCCCTCTCGCCGGGCAATGATGCGGCGCAGCGCCGGGTGACGCGCGCGGGGTCGGCACCGGGCTGCAAGCGCAAGGCGAAAACCAAAGCGAAGCGAGGCGGGAAGCGAGGCGGTCACCGTCCCCACGCGGCCACTTGCCGCTCACTCTTAGTGCTAGACGGAGGGCTGCAGAGAAGAGAACCCCCTTCCACGGATTATTTTATAGAGGAACCTTTGCAACCACTGGGAAGAAGGAGTTTTTTTTTCTTTCCCCCTCCCTCCCAGCCATGAGGCAGGTTTGGAATTAAAGAGTTCTGGTAACAGGATTGGAGTCCGTAAACTGATAGAGACCAGATAGCAACCTGTATTGCTGGCTCCTCCACTAGCTGGGTAAGCAACGTTGAAAGTTCTTTCTTTGCTGTAATTGATATGAAGTGTGCTTGATTATTGTTTTTTTTCCTTTTGTTCATGGCTAGTTAAAGCATATCCAGACCTGCATAATATTTTTTTTTCTTTCCTTTTTTTTCTTTCATTTTCTGCTAATGAATGATTTTCCTTATGGGGACTGGGAGACTTTCCTTATGGGGACTGGGAGACTCAGCAGATGACACCTGCACAGCACTTTACAGTGGAGCTATGGATACCTTTCCAAAGCAATGTAGCATGCTGAAAGGGAGATCTGTGTTAGGAAAACTTCACCATATTACTTCAGTAGTGGTTTGTTGATTTGTTAACAGTTGGAATACAGCATGAAAGCAGAAGTGGGGTTATACATTACTTTTCCTCTGTCCTAGGAGATTTTTTTTTAAGAGTACTTCCAAGATTTTAGGTTTGTGGGTTGTCAGCAGAGATCATGTGCACAGGGCAGGCTGAATATAGTATCATGACTTACTGAGATAAATTCAGGACTGGGATGTAAGTCCAAATCTGTTTCAAATTTGAAATAAGTTTGTTTGAAATTAAACCAATTTCCATTAGATCATTTGCACTGCAGATATCCTAAGATACCTTTGTGGCACAATGTACATTTATTATTTATGTATCTAACAGCTGGCTAGGAACTATGCAGCCTGGAATTGGAATCCTGTATTTGCCTGTCACTTTGTGTGTCTGTGAAGACTGGAAATTTGAGCAATGAAATGTAGCAATATTTCACTCGGAACTGATTGCATTAAAATTGGCAGGAGACACAAGAGTGGGAGGGAAAGTGCTGAAAGGATGTTATTATTGTTGTTCCTATTACTATTATCGTTCTCAATATCGTTTAAGGAAAGAAAAAAAGATATATAGTTTTTCCTCCTTGACTTTTCATCCCTCTTGCAAAAGAAAGCATAGTGCTACTACTGTAGAATACTAATCCCACTGCATCTGTTAAATCACATGTTCAGTGTGATTGACTATTTGTTTTGGCCTGACAAAGCAATCTTATCAAGATTCAAAGGCACTTCTCCCTCAGAAGAGGGTTAAGTTAAAGGATATCCTACAAGCTAGTTATGAGTTTTAAATCAAAAACCTTACAGTAGTTACAGAGTTTGAGTAGCTTGCTTAAGAATTATTCTTGGCAAAAACTCAATGACTATCATTAGTTAACAAAGCCATAAAGAATTATTTGGAACRGAGCCAGGATGGATATGTTTCTTCCATAGACTAGATCCCTATCTGAGAATTTTCTAATACTGGTGTTTTTGTCCATTAGTGGKGCGGAAGGATTACTTGATCCTGAACGTGAGCAAGGCTTATGCCCTCAYTGCTTTCCATCCCTCCTCCTGGATCAGGAGGAAACTGGTGCAGACTAACACCACTAAAAATGATTTACGGGGAAGGGATATAGAGTGACAGAGCTAGTAATGAGATACTGAGCTTTTCCCTCCCAAGCCAGTGGTGCAGATCCAGCCCGAATTGGTGCTGACCTGGAGTCCTCCCTGCGTGGCAGCTGCTTCCTGCTGTGGTTTGGTGGTCACAGCCTGTTCTTGCAGGACAGGTGTGAATCTCAGAGGGACTGACCCACAAGGATGTAGAAATACTGTCTTCCACTGGAGGGACTGTAGGGCTAGAGCAGAGCTGAGGTACAGGAGGAACTGAAGTGACTGCAAGAAAACTCTTCCTCAAACAGGCAATCTTTAGCCTTTAATGCTATTGTTCAGCCTTAGAGTTTGCCTCCTTCAAGGTGCTTCCAGTTGCCACTGAATCATATATGTCATCCCATTATTAAATATCATCAAATAACACTGAAAAGCTGCTGTGACCAAAAAGAAATATATATATAACAGATTTTTATATATATATATCCATATCACATATATGGAGATATATATATGTGCCTGTGTATATAAGGGGTAGAAGAACAGGACTAAAATGAGTTCGTGATTTATTCTGGCTTTTGCAGTTGAGCTGGAAAAAAATAACATTAATCCATTGGCACTGGTAATTTAGGTGAAGGTTAGATGAGGTTCAGACTTGCTCAAGTTTGGGCACTGCATTTCAGCGCCATTGAAGTCTGGATGTGGCTTGGTTTTTATGGGTCAAACCCCAAGTCAGCTGGGCCTCCCAGGAAAGYGCTGCTGCTCTTCTAAGTTCTGTCTTGGGCCCAGCGTGAATCTTCTTGGTCCAAGAAGAGCTGGAGATTTGATCTGGGGTGTGTATTTGTTCCTATGAAGAGCTCAGCTGTGCAACTGAGTGTAGTTTCAGTGTATATATATGTGAGTAAGAACAGTGTAAGGTGCCCAGTGTAAGGTGCCCAGTATACACTGTCCAGTATGGAGTGGGCAGTGCCCTGAGAAGTCCTGGGGAGCTGGGCAGCGTCTGAAAGGAGCAAACTCCAAACGCAAATATTGACTAAAGCTTCAAGCATGTCGAATGCTTTTGGTTTCAAGGATATTGAAATGAGTGACATGTGTGGTCAGCTCTTCACCTTTAGAAAGGGTGTTGAGGACTCCTGAGCTCTCAACTGTCCCTAACTTCTAGCTTCTGGTRTCTGAGCACCTTTGATTTCCAATGTTTAAAAAGGGAGGGCCGGGAGAAGAGAGGGAGATCAAATATGATGTAAGTTAAGGAGAGAGGTCTAAAAATATCAGCCAGTTATTTTATTCATGAAACTTTATCTCCTGCCCTTGCTTTGCTCTGCCTTGACATTTAGCATAATTATTTTTCCAGCAGGTGGAATTGTCCTTATTTAAATAAGCTGAATCTAAGTCAGTCTTAGCCAAAAACATGTCTCTGCTGCTTCATACTAACAGCAACAAGCGTTTTTGTGCTGGCACAGAGCACATCTGGAGAAAACCATTTTCAGATCCATGAAGAAGAAAACAGAAGTGCTTTGCTTCTTTGCTTTATCATATATTATGACGTAAGCTGTAAGAGCTTTTTAACACAGTTTGGCCTGTAGTGTTTCTTGTGCTCCACATGATTTTATAAAGATGGTGACGTGATCTATCTTTCTTCCAGATTTAATTTCTTGGATATTAAGTTGCAAATCTGAAGAGATGGCACTGCTTGCACTGCACGTGTTGATTGGGATATTTATTTACTCTAGCCATGTAAAAGGATCTTCTCAGCCTCAAGCAAGGGTGTTTCTAACATTCAATGGTAAGAAAGAAGATAAACATTCTTGAGCAAATGTTATCTTTGAATATTTTCTTCTTCCCATGTCATCTCAATAAGTAGAAATGGTCTGTTTGATCTGTGTACCAAATTATTATTTTTGATGTGCTGCTGAGATACCTTCTAATCTAGATTTTATTCTTACATAAAGTTCATTGCTGCTATAGGTACTTAAATAGTCATCCCTTCTGTGTGTTTTGAAGATTCTTATGATATACTAATAATTAAAGGTTTTATTTCTTATCCTTAATTTTGCCTTGGAATTATAATAGCACATGGAGTACATGGCATGTGGTAGAAGTTCTTAGTGTTTTGAGTTGCTTTCATTTGYTGCCCAGCCGTGACACTTTACACTCTGAAAATCAGATTCCTTGAAGGTTTACCAAGCTGGTTAGCAAGGCGCCGGAGTCCTTATGCAAGGAGCGGTATTTTGCCAGCTTCATACAGTGTCTTGGATGTACTTAGCATTTTGCAATCACAGATGTCTACATACTGTAAACAAGCAATCAAAATATTTGTCTTCCAGAGGTACATTCACCTCTAAAATGCTGAGTAATACTTTATTACTCTGGTTATTTCAATATTACTTTAATACAAAGGTAGCTACTTAACAGTCCTGCATTTAATTGCAGAAAAGACTTCCTGCTAGCTGTTTACGTTTTGTTTGGTGGCTGCATGTACTGCATACATTTGTGCTTCCTTCCACTTCTATCAACATTCTCTAAAGTTTTTATGTCTTGTAATTTTGAGGGTTGGTATGGCAATCTAAGAACAGCCTTTTTTGGAATAGAAGCAGAAATGCAATCTAAGGCCTATGTAACCTAATGTAGCCTGTTGCACCACACTGTTTTTTATCAGTCTATCCTATCCTCCCTCGATGGCATAATGTGTTTGAGTTACTTAGTCCATAACACAGTGTATAAGAAGAATTAGTCAGAGCGGCATATATGGGCTATAGTGTACCTGGGCTGTGTTTTGATGATGACTCCATTCACTGTTGTTGCTTCAATCGTCAGAATGCCCAAGGGGATCCTATTCTTCCAGTATTAATCTTTGTCATAAATCCTGATTTTTTGGCCACCACTTCAGAGCATGTGAATCCTTCAAAGCATGAGCTAATCTGTTAATTTAAGTCAGAAATTGTCCATCATTAAATATAAGGACATTTGCTTTCTTCAGCCCTCTACCTGTTCTCGGATTTGTCTCTCGGATTTAGTCCCCACATCAACACTGTCTAAATTAGAATGTTTTGGATCATTCACAAGTGCAAGGCTGCCTTGCAGTTGCCGTGTCCTGCCATGTGAATATTCTGCATGCACTGCAGAGTCTTTGGAGGAATCGCTTTAAGAAAAATAAAGTAAGAAAGCTGCTGAATAACCAATACTGCTACTCACAATAATGATGATAAGTGGGGAGATKATATCCTGGAGGAGACCTCACTAAGTTAGGCCTTCCACAAGTAGCAGACTGATCAACTGATCAGTTGCAAGATGTTGCTGATATTGGGATAAAGGCATTAATCTTATGAGCCCAATACTTAATAGGCATGAATTGCCTAGGTTCAGTTAAAGCCGTGGTGACTTTTGTATTCCAACAAGGACTTGTCGAATGATCAAACAGGTGGTAGCCTAAGTGGGAATTTATTTTCCTTGGTTAACTAATGCCGTGTTAAAGTATACAACACTGTTTCTCAATGCAAGAGGAAGCTGGTGATTGTGTGTTAGACTTGCATCTCTATCACAGCTGGGCAAAACAGACTAATTCAGCTTCTCACATTGTGCCCAGAGTTAAATAATCCTAATTTCCTGTACGAGGACTCTTGCTTACAGTGTGTTAGACAGAAAGTCCTGTGTCATGTCTTTGATTTCTAAGGCAATGCTTTGCACAGGTAGAACTGGCAATCTCTCACCTCAGTGATAGTTAGTGGAGAGCAAGCATCCCCTGGGACTTGCCATAATTCATGACTGTTTTAAAATGAACAGTTTACTTTCCCTAATACTTTCCTTTTGTCTCCTCATAATTTAAATGTGGCCAGAGGTCATAATCATAGACTTCTACTGAATATGATCCCAAGTTTTATGTAGAAAAGCATTCACACTTTTTCTTCTTCCAATAAAATATATTTTGAAGTGCTTGATTTGTAACGCCCTTTCAAAGTGAATTAAGAAGTGTAAAATGCTTTTTATAACATATCAAGTAATATCTGAAATACAAGGCTGAACTTTTAATATAACATGAAAACAGTAAGTTTATTTTTAAGTCTGATCTCCAGATGGTAAGAAGCAACTTTCATTATGTAAAAAGTTTATAGATTGGACACAAGAAGATAGCAGTCCCAGTCTGTTATAAATTTGWATTCTGTAAATTTCTTTATTTTTGGCACTGATATAAAGAGAGAAGGTGAAATTTCCAGATACCACACAATAAAGGCACGTCATAAAAGTTTAGAATACTTGCAGGGTATTTTTCATGATCCTAATTAGATCTTGTTTAATATATATAATTGTGTAAGTTTGGAGTATAGGATTTATACATGCAAAGAAAATAAAGGATGCTTTTCAAAGCTAACCTGCTTCTTCAGGAGCAAGTCAATTGAGCCTATTTACATAGCAGCATTTCTCATGGGAAAATCCAGTGAGTATCTTGACCTACACTGTTGTTCATCAGGAAAGATAAAAATGTGAATTGGTTGAATCATGGGCTGCTTTTGCTCTTTGCCATCTACTTCATTAAGAATCAAATGTAATTAAAAAGCAAGCCTGGGTTAATACCTCAAGTGTCTGATAATAGGGAATTTGCAATTAATTTCAGTGGGGGAAGAATTGCAAGTCTAATTTCTATTTTTGAAATCAAAAGCATGGCCCTTCATTTAATTAAAATGTAGTTCATGACTTAGCTGAGATTGTTAAATATAGGTGTGATGTGAGTGAAGAAATTACTACTGTCTGCACCCTAATCATCTTGAAAATCCCAGTTTCATACATAACTCCTGGCTGTGATTTCTTTAGCTTTGCACCTGATTGCTATTGTTCCCCCTCATTCTCTGTGGAAAAGGAAAGATCAGTTGTATTATTGAGTGCTCTGCACAGGTATGGGTGCTTATACACAAGGCTGGACCTATGGAGAATCAGGTGAAGGGATCTGCTATGTGCCTAGATTGATTTATCATAATCTAATTGTCCTGTTTAATTGCAGTGGCACAGCCCATCAGTTCTGTATGACAGCTGCTCTTGCAGAGTGCAGGCTGGGAGGCACTGGGGGTAGAAAGGTGGCTCTAATTCTTCTGAGTCTGAAACTGCAAAGATGTGAAGCTTGTTATACAATGTAGGTCAATCGTTTACCATGTTAATATGGAAGCATGTAATATGTAGGGTGCCCATGATGGGGGGCGTGAACAGGATCTCTGGACTATTGACCAGAAGAGGGACTATTGAAAAGGGACCCTTTCGCCCTTCCCTTTCCTCCTACAACTCTTTGACCCCTGGAAAGGTTTTTGCCACCATAATTTAAAGAGTGGTAATTTATTTTCTGCTCGTAGCAAAAGACTTCCCRTATCTGTTTATGAGCTACCAAGTATAATGCCTGCTGTTTCATAAGCCACATGCATTCCTCCTTGTTGCTACATGTTTCCAAATGGATAATTGGGAACTAACTCTCTCAGGCTGCATATGGGCAAAATCTTTCTCCAAGTCAATGGGAATATTATCAAAATAAGAAATATACTTGTAGACTCCACAACAGTGTCAAACTGTCTTTCATTTCCAGCTCAATTTTAGATTTTTACTTTCTTTTTTTTTCTCTCCACACCTAAAATGAATTGGGCTATGCCTTTATAATAGACAAAGATTTTTTTTGAATGAGTCAGAGCAGTTCCCATACTTATTTTTAAAAGTGAACTTAAACAAAGTTGCTTTGAACTTTGAATTTATAGGGAGACGAACAACCAAGTGATAATTTTACAATTATCAAGGTTTACTGGGAACATTTTATGTATTCCCACCCAAAATGCCTGGTCAAGGAGATATTTCCCATGCAGATTGCTCCATTGTCTCCAATGAGAATTCCATATGAGAAGTGATTCAAGGCTAATTTGCAGACAGTTTTGTTTCTCTTTTTGTCTGAAAATTACTAGAACATGTAAAGAACTTTTAAAAAAAGTATCAGTCAGCTTCATTAATGACAATTAAAAAGCATAAAGTGTCAGCAGAGCAACAGCAACACTTATTCAACTGTCAACGTATTTTAAAAGATTTAATGCCACCCCTGTGGTTACCCTCAAGAAGAAATAAAGGAACTGAGAGCCATTTTCTTTGAGCTCTTGAGCAACAGCAGTGCAACTTGTTTTTAAACAATCCCTCATTGTAATGTTAATGTTACCACAGTTAATAAAAAGTTCATTTATTATTTGGGAGACTTTGTCCTGATGACAGTCCAGTAGGCAATGGTTTATGCTCAGATAGTTTATTGGATATTTGGTGGTGTCTGTGAAAGCTGCTTGCAAAATGAACTAGAAATAAAGGAATACTTAAAAGCGGGAGAACTATGGATTTCTTTTCTTATTTTTGTTTATTTGCAGAGCTCTTGTAGTGGCATCATTTTCAGAAAATTGTGGGTCTTTTTATTTTTTTTCTCAAAAGTGACAGACTTGTTACTTTCTCAGCTTAATGGATCTTACACAATGCTAATTTATAAAGTGCTGAGCACCAACCATGTGAAAAAAATTCCTTTTCAAATGCCTCAATCTGGATATCTAAAAAGTCAACTCRCTTTTGAATACCACCAACTGAAAATAGAGTTGTTTAAGTATAGAAGTTGGCATTTTTGCATTTGGTGGAACTGACAACCAAGTTTTATTTGTCCTATTTAAAGATAAATATCTGATTACCAAATTAAAGCCTTTCAGTTTTCTTTGTGATTCTTCTCTGCACAGAGACATTTCCTGTTATTAGAAAAGGAACAGAGTTGTGTTAGACATGGTGCAGTAA